GTCTCAGATTGAAGCAGATTAGGCTTCGCAGCACGAGGAGCGAAGGACATTAAGGAGAGAAAATTAACATAAGATCAGGCGAGTGCTGAGAGGCGTCAGTGAGAGGAATTAAAAAAAGAACAAGTGCAGATTGAATAATCTACAACAGACTGAGAGTACAGACAAATTAATCCAGTCTAATTTTACCTTGAAGAAGAGCTGAAGTTCATTTTAATCTGATGCAGACTCATTTCATCCATCCATCCATCCATCCATCCATCCATCCATCCATCCATCCATCCATCCATCCATCCATCCACCCATCCATCCATCCACCCATGGGAAGCTGCTGTCTATCTTCAGCAGTAATTATTTTCTGTTATACAGTTGAATAAAAAGCTAATTAAAAATCAAAAGGCAGAAAATCGTCTCTCAGGAAGGTCACCAGATCACCGTCCAGCCTGGAGCCTTTCTGGTTGGAGTATAAATGTTCTCTCCATGCATGTGTGGGTTTTCTCTGGGAGCTATGGTTTGTTCCCTCAGACAGAAACATGTTGGGTCAACTCTAAACTGTTTCATTTGTCTCTGTKTCCCAGTGATGGACCTGAGACCTGTCCAGGGTGGACCTACCTCCAGCTGGAGGCACCAGTGAAGCCCACAACCAGGGAAGCAGCAGTGGGTAAATAAAACATCTCTGCTGTAATAATGGGATTTAAAAATCTGGCATGGCTGAAACCTTGTTAACAGACCTTCCTGCGTCACATTCATCCAGTTTAAATGGTTCACGGCTATTTTTAAAAGTTAATTCTCCAAAAAAAAGTCATTTTTAAACATTCACACATCAGTCTTCCTGCTGCCTCACAAGGATTGGTTCAAACTGATTGGTAAGGTCGTCTCAACAGGTGAGCAGAGGTGATTAAACACACCTGGAGCTCTGAAGTCTTCATTTCCATCACAACGTTCTCTAAAACACTTCCTGGCATCTGAAACTGAAGGAGTCCTGTAACTCTGCAGAGGGAGGAGGGCTGGGCTGAAGCACTTCCCTGCTGCTGCCGGAGCGCCGGCAGCAAAACTGTTAGCAGGAGAACATTTCTTCTTCTATTAATGAGTCGACTGCAGGCATGGGGGCAGCTAACGCTGGCTTTACAGTCTGTAATGATATTCTACAATCATATAGGACCTGACAGGAAACACGTTGCTGTTTGGAGAAAACCGTTTGTGAGAAACACAGTGTCTGCTTATCTACATATTAAAGTAGTTGGAACAAAGTGCTGCAGCCAGAGTATTTTCTGACAGCGGGGAGATAAGAAATGTGTTTCAGGCTCATTTCATCTCCCTCTGAAGTGAACCAATGATTGCAGCTGCTGTCATATCTGATCACTGCAGCCTGTCAAAGACACAAAATGCTCTGTTCAGCTGAATGTTTTTTTTTTTCAGAGAAGACACGGATCTGTTACTGTGTCGTACTCCAGGAGGGTGAAATGAATTCTTAAATGCAKTAGTAGACGTGTTTAACGACAGGGTGGTGGTCCATTTAACCAACAGTTAGGACAATGATTTAACCTGCCAGGTGAGGACGGTCTCCCTCCTCATCACTGAATGTTTCCACATCAGACGTCTCCTGCTCAGGGTTCTGTCGGCTCTTTATTTGTCCGTTTTCAGGTTTTTTGTTTCCAGAGTTTCTTGTGTCACCAKTACGTCCATTTCCTCAGTTAATTATCCCCACCTGCTCCTCGTTAGGCTCAGCTGCTCCAACTTCCTCCCACTTCCATTGTGCAGTTCTGCTCAGCGTCTCCTTGGATTTTGTTTTGTTTTTCTTCTACTTATTGTTGCCAGGTCAACCTTTTTCTTTTTTTTTCCTTTTTAATAGATCTTAGGATTCTTATTCCAACGCCTCATGGTGCTCATGCCTCCCCGTGTCTTACCTCACCTGACCCTGACAACCTCAGAATTATCATTCATTTAACCTTTCTGCATCCCTGAATATGTACATCATCAGTAGTCTGTATGTACCAAGAAGTACCATGTATGTACCCTCATCAGTAGACTGTACGCACCAATAAGTACCATGTATGCACATTTAGTAGTCTGTATGTACCAACAAGTACCATGTATGCACATTTAGTAGTCTGTATGTACCAATAAGTACCATGTATGCACATTTAGTAGTCTGTATGTACCAATAAGTACCATGTATGCACATTTAGTAGTCTGTATGTACCAATAAGTACCATGTATGTACCCTGATCAGTAGTCTGTATGTACCAATAAGTGCCATGTATGCACATTTAGTAGTCTGTATGTACCAATAAGTACCATGTATGTACCCTCATCAGTAGTCTGTATGTA